AGGTTTCCGCCGCAGTGACCGAGATGAGTACCTGAAAGAGGTAAAAAACCCCACCCACTGCTTCTTCAGCCCAGCTAGGGGAGGGGCTGTGGCCCAGTGGCTGGCTTGCAGAAGGCCCCATGTTCAGTCCCTGGCATCTCCGCTTAAGAAAGGACCAGGCAGGAGGTGATGGGGAAAGACCTCAGCCTCTGAGACGCTGGCGAGCTGCTCCCCATCTGGCTAGGCCAGCTGGTCCTGGGTAGAGCAAGGGCCTCATTCAGTGCAACACAGGCAGCTTCCTGCACCTGCATATCTGGGAGGGAAGTAACGGGGGGTGGGGGATGTCTTGCTCCTTGTGCGGGAGGCAAGACTCACTGGGTGGAGGGGCTTGTTGGAAGGGGAGGAAAGAGGCTGTGAGTGCGATTCCTGCCATGCCAACGCTTAATGCTTTTCTCCCTGCTGTTCCGCAGCTCTACGAAACGGCCAACAAGTACCACTTCCTCCACAGCCTGGCGCTCCTGGCCGTCCCACACTGCCGGTACCCCATGGTGGTGAGTAGGCAAGGCCCAAGTGGAAGGGGAGGGACCTCAGAGGTGTTTAGCATGGGAGAGGCTACCCACGGAGGTCCCCATTAGAACGTATGAGAAGCCAACCTGGATCAGACTGGTGGACCATCTAGCCCTGCCTCCTGTGTTCAGGGGCCGGCCAGTCAGAGGCCCCCTGTCAAACGCTCTCCCCTGCTGGCTGCTCCTGGCTTGTGTCAGTTTGGGGGCTATGAAATAATGGGCTTGCAAGCAGTGTTCCCTCTAGGCTGAGTGAGTGTGAGCCAGCTCACAGTTTTTTAGCCTCTGGCTCACACATTTTTGTCTCAGCTCAGGAAGGGATGGCTCTGCAGCAGCCCAATCGCTCGCTTACAACTTTAAGGCCAGCAGCTCACAAAGCAGAATTTCTGCTCACAAGACTCCACGGCTTAGAGGGAGCCTTGGCTGCAAACCCTGTTCCCTTGGGTTGCGGGAGGGCAGGAAAACTCCACGGCTGTCCCAAGTCTCTGCTCAGTGCCGCCACCCCTTTTCCTTACTCCTATGGGTTCCGGAAATCGAACTGGGTGGTAACTGCCGCCATCAGTTCGCTTACAACTTTAAGGCCAGCGGCTCACAAAGTAGAATTTCTGCTCACAAGACTCCACGGCTTAGAGGGAGCCTTGGCTGCAAGCCCTGTTCCCTTGGGTTGCGAGAGGGCAGGAAAACTCCATGGCTGTCCCAAGTCTCTGCTCAGTGCTGCCACCCCTTTTCCTTACTCCTGTGGGTTCCGGAAATCGAACTGGGTAGTAACTACCGCCATCAGCAAATCTGAGAGTACCTATAGCTGGACAGACATGTGCATCCATCGCTCGGGACCCGTGCTGCCATTCAGAGGTGTTCCACCTAGTTGTTGGATATCCTGCATCATTCCTCCAAAATAACACAGGAACCGTCTATTGAAATTTCACAATTTCAAGCTAATCGTGCTTAAGGGGTGGTGGGCTTACTCACGGCCCTTCCACTTAAGAGCTCTTTAGCTGGCAGTGTTTTTGCAGAGACTTTGAGCATTCAAAACACAAAAAAGTTTAGTGAAGAAAGAGCACTTGTAGTCTGTGAAGACGCAGTTTGGTGTAGTGGTTAAGAGTGGTGGACTCTAATCTGGAGAACTGGGTTTGACTCCTCCACATGCAGCCAGCTGCATGACCTTGGGTCAGTCAAAGTTCTCTCAAGAGCTGTTCTCAGTCAGGGCTCTCTCTGCCCCACCTGCCTCACAGGGTGTCTGTTGCGGGGAGAGGAAGGGAAGGAACTTGTAAGCTGCTCTGAGACTCCCAAGTGAAGGGCCAGGTATAAACCCCACTCTTCTGCTGCTGCTCAAACGCTGGACTGAGCAAGGGTACAAAGAAAAGGTGAAAATGTGCATTAAGGAATTTTACATGACTCATAATTATGAGCCTATGTTGGTTTGCCGGATTTTAGCAATGTTGTGTTCCTGCATGACTCCCCCTGCTGTGGAGCTGTTCTTTTTGACCTCTGTTCCCTCAGTAACATTATCTTAGCCAAGGGCTGGTGCCGCAGCGTCTGTCTTTC